ATGCAGTTGACCTAGGGTTTAGGGTCATGCTTGCCTTTAACATATAAAAATCTAGCACGACAAAAGGAAATAGGATGTTAGAACAAACTGGTAGATCCCACTTTTCTGCGGGATCATCATAAAGCAGCTGTATTTGATTAGAAACATAAGGCCAATGCAATGGAATGCATAGAGGGTTTTTTGGTTGTTTTCTCCCCCTCTTTCTTACTAACAAAGACTATTCCACAAAGATAAAATACCATCTTGGTCTGACCTACAAAGCGATGCAATACTAACTCTTAACTTGGACTAGAACTACCAACGTGCGCTGGTGGTATGACAGACTTTCTGGATCTTGTTGATTTGCCAGCAGAAGGAAAACATTCTGAGAGAAGAAAGGGTATGCTTTCTTTGCTGCTTAGGAGACATTGTTTAAGTCTGCTCTTTAAACTATATGTGCATATTTTAAAAACGCTTGTTCTTTATTCAGAGAGATCAGCTTACATTTCGGACTAAGACAGTTCTTGCTGTCTTTGACTCCCTCAACCTATGCAGAATCAAACTCAGCTAAACTCACATAAAAAGGTCTTTACTCCTTATTTATCGTATTATCTGTGAATGGCTAGAAGAACTGTTCACAAAAGAAGGAAATTCATACCACCAAAATGGAGGTATCCAATTTAAAAGCCTTTTCTCCCTGCTCCTTCTGTGTAGTCACTGGAGACAGACTCCTTTTGATGGCCAGTCAGAGAAATAGCTTATCTTACGCACTTGCAGTCATCTTCTAGAGGTACCAGAATCTCTCAGTTGTGCAGAAGCTTAGGAAGACTAAGCTTGTAACTTGGGGTGCATTTCCACTGTCACTTCAATGGGGCAGAAGTGCAGGCGGCTGCCAAAATGCAGCAATCTACCTTCCTTTTATCATAGATCATAGAGCGCATTAGATCAGAAGGAAACTGGAGGTCATCTCTAGTCTTACAGCTCTGGCTTAAAGCAGAGCTAACTTCGTAGGTCAGATTGCTCAAGGCCTTAGCCAGGTGAGTTGCGAAAATCTTCAAGGATGGCAGGGGGAAGAGGGGCTGCAACACATGACCAATTCACCTCAGACTCTTTTCCTATGTTATATTCTTCAGCCTCCTAACCATCTTAGGGGTTCTTTACTGGACTTCCACGTTGCTGATGTGTTTCTTGTGTTGGACACCACACTGAACACAGCACTCTTGATGTGGCCTCATAAGAGCTGAGTAGAGAGGAATAACACAGATTTGTCTCCACCACCAATATCGCTACAAACTTGACTGCCAGCTTCATAAGCCAGGTGTGTTTCACCTTGTGTCCATTATGTATGTGGTATTCTCAGGCTTTACTGGCTGAGCCTTCAGGAGGTTTCCCTACTTTGTCACCTTACGCATCTAACTTGGAGCATGGGGCTATGATTAATGGGATGAAATTTAACAAGTCCAAATGCCGGATTCTGCACCTAGGATGGAGTAATGCCAGGCACAAGTGTAAATTGGGAGAGGAGCGGCTGGAGAGCAGCCCTGCAGAAAGGGACCTGGGGGTGCTGGTCGACAGCAGGCTCAATGTGCGTCAGCAGTGTGCCCTGGCAGCCAAGAGGGCAAACCCCATCCTGGGGTGCATCAAACACAGCATAACCAGCCGGTCAAATGGGGTGATTATCCCACTGTGTTCAGCGTTGGTACAGCCTCACCTGGAGCACTGTGTGCAGTCCTGGGCCACAAAATTTAAGAAGGATGTGAAGGTCCTTGAATGCATTCAGAGGAGGGCAACAAAGCTGGTGAAGGGGCTGGAAGGCATGTCCTATGAGGAGTGGCTGAGGACCTCATAGGCTTGTCTAGTTCGGAGAAAAGGAGACTGAGGGGCCACCTCATGGTTCTCTGCAGCTTCCTGAGGAGGGGACGTGGGAGGGAGGTGCTGAGCTCTTCTCCCTGGGATCCAGCGACAGGACACATGGCAATGGCTCAAAGCTGCACCAGGGGAGGTTTAGACTGGACGTTAGGAAGCATTTCTTTACCAAGAGGGTGGTCAAACACTGGAAAAGGCTTCCTAGAGAGATGGTCCGTGGCCCAAGCCTGTCAGTGTTTAAGAGGCATTTGGACAACGTCCTTAATAACATGCTTTAACTTTTGATCAGCCCTGAATTGGTCAGGCAGTTGGACTAGATGATGGTTGTAGGTCTCTTGCAACTGAAATAGTCTATTCTATTCTATCTCACCCACCTCTCTATTTAAAAATGAATGATTTTCACAGCAAGGCACATCCAGGATGAGCAATGAATCTCACGCAGGCATTTCAGAATCACTTTTCAGACCAGAACCATTCTGACCTGAAACCTTGACTCTGAAACGTCTGGTTTTTGGCACACTGCTCATCAGCCTGCAGCGAATCATGTAAGGTTCAGGAGAAAGAAATACTCTGAAGCTTGGGGTCCTCCCTTCAGGCTCCATGCACGATCTCCTAAAGAACTTATTAGTGCTCTTCACAGTGCTGGAAATAACTTCTCATTCTCTCATTTAGGACATGCCAGATAGGATCTGCAAGAACCTGAAACTGTCACCAAGCTACCCAAAATGAGGAAACTGTTAGGAGAGACTCAAGTATGTAACTTGGATACAAATTCTTGAGTACAAAGGAAGTCTAAATTTAAGACATTGCTGAGGGAAAAGCAGGCAGTGAAGGTGACAGTAAACACTGAAAACTGATCTGAAAGACAAAAAGCACAACTATGCTGGCAGACTGTAGTTTTCCTTGGCAAATCTGCTTAAGAGTCACAGCTCTGACACTATTATGATGTAATGTCCAATAAAAAATACGAAGTGCTGCGTAGTATCTTGTCTTCACAACATTTTCCTTCTTCTGTACCAATGACAAGAATTTCAGTACAAGAATACTATTAAAATGACACTGACTTCTAGAAGCTATCAAACTGGCCTTCGCTAGTTGTACAAGCACTCAGAATATCTTTAACCAGAGTACACATCACATTCTTAATCATTCCTGATATGTCCTCCATAACAAAATAATTACAGAGTCCTATATAAAAGTCTCCAATGGTCATCCTAAGAATTTGACTCTCGAGTTCTTCAAGCAAAGATTATTACCCTTGCCATGTACCTACAAACTGGAAAGCACATAGCCAATATTTTGATTTGTCTAATTTACTCTGGTGCTAACAGAAGAAACATTAAAGTACAATCATACCCAGTAAAATAGGTGAGAAAAAATAAATGAGCAAGCAAGATCCCAAGGCCAATTTTCATGAAGAAATTATTAGTTCAGTTGAAAGAAATGAAACCTACTCAAAGGGGAGAAAAAATATCAGAAAGGAACAGTAATCACCATAAGTATCGTTTGAAGTGGCTGTGCTGGTTTTGGCTGGGATAGGGTTAATTTTTTTCATAGTAGCTGGTATAGGTCTATGTTTTAGATTTGTGCTGAAAACTGTTGACAATACAGGGATGTTTTTGTTATTGCTGAGCAGTGCTTACACAGAGTCAAGGCCTTTTCTGCTTCTCACCCCACCCACCAGCGAGGAGGCTGGGGGTGCACAAGAAGTTGGGAGGGGACACAGCCGGGACAGCTGACCCCAACTCACCAGAGGGCTATTCCATACCATATGACGTCATGCTCAGCGTATAAAGCTGGGGGAAGAAGGAGGAAGGGGGGGACGTTCAGAGCGATGGTGTTTGTCTTCCCAAGTAACTGTTACGTGTGATGGAGCCCTGCTTTCGTGGAGATGGCTGAACACCTGCCTGCCGATGGGAAGCAGTGAACGAATTCCTTGTTCTGCTTTGCTTGCGCGTGCCTTGCTTTACCTATTGAACTGTCTTTATCTCAACCCATGAGTTTTCTCACTTTTACTCTTCTGATGCATGAGCAAGCTGCTATGTGGTGCTTAGTTACTGGCTGGGGTTAAACCACGACAGTGGTGAAGATTAAGTTAAACTTATGATATCAGCTGTAGAAATATGGAAAATAGTTCTAAACAATCTCAACTCAATTAGCAGGAGCTATTCACAGCATCTTAGAGCTCATTGCGGACTAACTCTCCCCCCTCAGCCTACACTAAGCTCTATAATGCCACTCATGACTATGTTGCTAAGCTAGATCATTCAAAGCCAGCTCAGGTACCTCTGTCACTGTCAACTCTGGTTAAACATTACAGGCCATGCCTATTGAACTGACATTATACAAGCTCTTCGCAACAAAGCTCTTCATGAGTTCACCAGATGACTCCCATATTTCCTGTGGTGGGACACATTCAGATACCAGATAGCATGTCCTGTATATTTTTTCATAATCATGAATGGATGTATTCTTGTGTGTTTATTTAACAGAGCACCAAGATAATTTCTCCACAACTGTATTTGAACTGCCACCTTGTATTCAGATCAAATAATACAGCAGATCTAAAAGCTCACTTGAAAAAACATCTACGAAGGAACTGTTCATGTTAAATACAGCTGTCTTACAAAAACCTCTATGAGTAACACTATATTCATCATGTATATGCCAGCACTTGCACGTTGCAGGAATTCAGAGGGCTTACTCATATGAATAATTCTTTACAATTCATTAAAAATACAAGTAAGGTTCCTAAAGTTCGTTCCTATTTGAGCCATCCCAACATAATGGCATAAAGTGTACTAAAATATTTAAGAATATAAATTTATAGGTTTGATTTCTTTCTAAAATACTTATTGAAATATTTCTTTATGTTTATAAACAATAAAACATTTAATGAATAAGCCTATTACAAAATGGACTTTTCTTAAAAATTTTTAGTGGTTAACGGGAATTAGGGACAGCAACCCCTCCAGCTCTTCTAACAGTAAATAACTGCTAAAGCATGTTTTTAAAAAATATTTTATGAGGATATAAACACTAATAAATGCAAACCACATCAAGCTGACATTTTTAGTTTTGCTATACTTCACTGGAATGTACGAATGAAGAAAATATACACAATATAAAATTAAAGAGACAAACAGAATGCTTACTTTCTCTAAATGCTTTACAGTAGCCAAGGAATGACAACAAAAAGAACAGGGCACACAGTAGGTCTGCTCTGCCAACAATCCCAGCAACCTTAAAAAAAAAAACAACAAAAAGAAAAAAGTTTCAGATTACCAGATTTTATTTTTAAAAAAACTGAGATAAAGGTACACACACATATACAAAGCGAAATGTATAAAGGAATATTGCTGTATCACTTTATTTTTTTTAACCTGGTTTACTAGATTAGTGATACCCAGTTTTCTAAGCCGCATCCTAATTTTGATTGGGTTTTGCTTAGTATCAACTAGGTAAATGGTTTGGCTTTAATTTATGAAAAACTGCTGTTTTCAGAAACAAAGAAGGACCTCACTGAAGAAAATGTAGACTCTGCTCCATTCCATCTGTTTTTTGGATCAGGTTGCCTTTCAGTAGAACTCATCCAGTAGCAAACATCCTGAACCCCAACAAAACTGGCAACTTTGCTGAAATGCAAATCAAGACTGTCTACTTTCAGAAGACAAGCCAGCCTTCAAATTGCAGTCTGAACACTCAGAATGGACAAATAGCTTCTGGCCTGCAGAATCAGAAAAAAAATCCCCCCTCTGGCAGTTTTTTGTGTTATATTAATTGATTGCATTAGAGCTACCTCCAACTGTATCTTGTAACAGAAGATGTACTAACGCAAAAGAAAATGAGAAGCGCGTTCTGGGACCTCTGTACTCCGGATCTGTGCCAACCTATTTAAATCAAAAGCCTTCTCAGGGCCATCAACAAGCTTTCGTTCAAGCCCTTAAACTGTATTTACAATAACGTGCTGAGACACAGCATGACATATTCTTGGATCTTTGTTCCTCACTTACACAAGTGTCAGGATACACCATGAATTTTTTGTGGAAATCATGATACAGGGGGGTGGCAGGGGACTGTATAGGCCCTGATGTTGGGAACTCACTAGAACATACAACCAGAGCAAGGATCATGGAAACACCCCTTTGTTTTCAGTCTAGCTCTACTTCCTCAAGTGCTGGGTTCCATGTCTCCAGGAGAAGATGTACACAGAGGCCTTTCTGAAGCAGGGCAGAACAGCTACAGGTTTGGGGTTTTTTTTATCCGCTTTTTGAGGTGATGGTTCAGGGACAACAGCAGAAACTATGGTTCTTGTGTAGTACACCAGGTCTCCCATTTTGTGAATGGAACAGAAAGAGGAAAGTAAAAAGATAAATTGCATCCTCATTTTGTTTAAAGGCACCTGCTAACCCTCTCTTAGGAAAAGGGCATTTTTTTTTGTGTCAGTCTGACATAATGGAACAATTATTTCTAAATAGTGTCAGAGAGAGAAAGAGAAGTGCAGAGGCATGAGAGTAGGACTGAATCCATTGAAGAGACTCTTTCCCACTTTACCCTCAGCTTCACTTGAGCACCAAAAAAGGAGAAACTGTTGGACTCTCAAATTCAGTTCAGAAAAACTTCTTGATTTATCCAAAGCCATGCACCTAACTTCCCTGCTTCTTTTTCTGTCTTATAGAGGAATTATCAGAATTAACTCAATAGCTGTGGAGTGCTTTGAAAGGTGAAAATAATGAAGTGTCATTCTGTTTCAGAAGCTGCTCTCAGCTAAGGAGATAAAAGTAAAGGTGAACTGAGACAATTTTGAAAATAAATGCCAACTTGTTACAACAAAGGATTAAGGAGTTAATAACACATATATGGCCTCAGATGACTCCAACAGGACAATGTTATCTCAAATGCAGGATCAGGCCCATAGTCTCTGGTAACAAGGTAAACAAAAAAATAAAATTTTAAATTAGTATCAGGTATATTCTTATATCCCTGTTTCATTTAGTATTTAATCACTCAATTGTTACAAAGAATACGCATTTTTTAGAATAGAGAACTACACCACAAGAGTGTTTACTTGTAGGTGGAAAAATTATAATGGCAGATGTTTTTCTTACATAGGTACTGAAAGCATTAAACTTTTCAAGATCTGTTTTACATGACAGTTTGTTTTGTGCTGTATATACCAAAATCCAAAGCAGCAGACAGACAAGATTCTTCACAATTTTATGTCAAAATATGTCATCTCATTTCAAAACCAGGATGTCATGATGCTTAAAACTCATAGCTTTAAAATCATGAGGAATGCTTTTTGAGAAGATGCTGCCTGACACACACTCATGCTAGAACCATAGCAGTATCATGATTGCTTCAGTGCAGCAAGATTTATTATTCACCGTGTAAATGACTGGAGGCCTTTTTTCACTCCTGGATCTTAGAAGAGACATGGTATGTAAGCATGCTACTTTTTTCCTCTTCTTCCAATGTTTGCCTAAAGCATACGCAAGTCTTCAAACCTCGCATATGCAAGCAGACTGCATCACTTGTCATTTATTCGACAGGACCAAGGTCTTCTTAACTTTTGCCTGCTGATTTAAATATATTTTTAGAGTCAAATGGAATGAAGAATAAAATTATGGATATTGATAAAGGAGTCAATAGTAAGCCTACTACAAAGTGAAGACTCAAGTGAGATTTCTCTTTACATGTCAGAACATCAAAAGCACTGAAGACTTGTTTTACTTCACTTTGACATCTAGAACTGGTTTTGAAGAACAAATACCAGGGGCCCTTTTGACACTAGCACAACGTGCTCTCACTAAGAAGCTATTCTGCAGGCAAGCAAACACCAGAGAATGACTGGCAGGATGTTTTAGCCACACTGCCAAATAAGGTGCCAAACTGCTAATACATAACTGCACCATCTCTAGGTTTCCAATACATGCTAGGTCCCCAGTCAGCTGAAAGGCATAGCTTTCCGTCCAACATATATAGAATAAGGCGCACTGCGGATTCAGTGTTCGTTACTAGCACAAAGATCAAAGTTAAAGTTAGTACTTTTTCAGTAGCTCAGTCCTTCCAAGCTCTAAAAAAAAAAAAAATAAAAAATATTCCTGCATTGTGATTATTTTATATTTCATTTATTCATTATTATAAGATCAAACAATCAGGGACTACATCCAGCAAGCCCACTGGCATAAGGCCATAAGATCTTCTTAGCTAGGAATGCAAAAGAACTTTTTAGAGAAAACCATCTCTTCACTAGAATTTCCACACAAGCACTTCGATCATTGGTCAGGTATTTTAATTGGTTGCTACATGTGTGCCATGTTTCTCTTCTGCATCTTTAAAGCTTCAACTTCCAGCCACTGTTACACTTTTGTCTGCACTATTAAAGGGCCCACTACTATCAAATTTGTGTTCCCCATGTACACAATTACAGACTGTAAAAAAAAAAAAAAATCCTTTAATCTTCTCTTTCATACTAAAAATATAAACCCATGGAGTTTGATCTCTCATGACTTGGCATGATTTCCAGTCCTTTAATCATTTTCATGGCTCTTCTGAACCGTCTCCATTTTTCCCAGTGTCCTCTTTGCAGCATGCATTCAAAACTGGATACAGTATTCTAATACAGTCACATACAGAGTTCATATAATGCCCCTACTCCAATTTTCTATCTCCCTGTTTTTTTATCAAAGCAAACGGAAATGAAAAGTGGTTATGCGTTTGCATTCAGTTTATCTTCCATTCTCCTTGGCTGCTCATGAGCTAATGTTTCTAGTAATGAATTCTTAATCCAGTAATTAGGGAAACTTTGTAGTTTAGGGCTATCCTTCTCTAGTTGTTGTACTTAAGTGATTTAATTTATCTTCCTTAATAAGGTCCAGCCCTGTGGAATTACAAGCTTTTGGACACAGCAACCATAATACTTGATCGTTCTCATAAGACATGTGCCAAGAGAAGCGTTAAATATATAACAGTAATGTGTAGACTATAAGGCTATGTCAGAACTAATTAGTCAAGATGGTCAAGAACTTCTAAGATATAAATCGTTGGAGCTAATTATTCAGTACTTACACATTCGGTGTGCACTGGATGTACGGCAAACAGCAAAGCAGCTAGAAGAGATGTCTTTGGAGCCAGGTTTAGCCTTCTTCCTTTATTACTGAATTGCAGTCCACCCAATAAAATCGAGAACACATCAACCATCAACACTGAGATAGTACAATGCAGTATTATATTGATGACATGGAAACCAACTGGGTAGAAGCCTCCAGCAAAAAGGTAATTAATTCTATATAGAAACAAAAACATGAAGCCTAGGAATTACATCAGTGGTGTGAGATATGCAAACAGAAAACCTAAACAACCCCATAGCAAGATCATATTAGACACACACACACAAAAAAAAAAAAAAAAAAAAAAAAAAGGCTGAAATATACCAGCACTTAGCCACCACAGTAGGCTAGAAACAACGTCCTGATCTTTAGTCAAAGGTATCCATATGGGATACCATATTCAGCATAATATTTATCTTCTCCAAAGACATATGTGAATGCTATTATGTTAATCATACCTATGACTACTCAGAACTGGCTTTTGGTCAGCAACGTAACTTCAATGTTGCAACACAGGAGTGTCCTACAGATAAACAACCCAGCCTACTGGGGGGATACCCTTGGGCTTAAGAGAAACTATGTCCCAAAACAACCTAATGAAATAATTTTAATTAAATCCACACAGCGAGGAGACTAGTATGTGTACTGAGACTATGATTTCCACTGACATTCTAGCTGAAAAATGTCCTAACATTTGGACTGATGACATGGAAACCATCTGGGTACAATCCAGTATCAATCCAGGAAGAGTCAGCACATCTTAGTAACTAATTTGCGAGACCAGTTAGAGAGAGGTTTCATGCAAGTGTTAGAACCAGAAGGAAGTGTAAGTGAAAATTCAGGCTAAAACTCTATTCAAGATAGGAACTCTGTGGTAAAATGGAGAGGGAGAAGAAAAGGGAGAAACACCTTGTTATTATCTGTATACTTTTATACAGTAGGTGAGATATACAGAAACTTAGTTTGGATAGAGGATTTTATATAGTTCATTTGGTCAGCCTGCATCTGGCTTAAGTGAAATCTATTAAAAAAGCCTAACCTATTATAAATGTGATACACATAAAAGTTGGAGCTTAGGGAAATTAAGAAAACCAATTTCTTACTTGTGAAAATAGATTTTATGGACCATCTCCACATGCTCATCTATATTTTCAGATATAGTAATGACTATATCCCAGTTCGCTCTTTAAACTAACCAGGATGTTACTAGACGTGGAATATACCACAGAGACCTTGAAAAGAAAGGAAAGCATGTGCTGTGTAATGCACTGAAAGCTTTAATAGGTTTAAGACCCTGACACATTCTATTCAGTTGCATATTTTCCTTGATGAAAATGTGAAGAAACCCCAACAGACAGTGAAACCCACAGTGCTAAGTACTTAAAACACTGACACTGCACTCAAGAGTCAAAGTTTTTGCTTGAATATGAGGACTAAGACTGGGAGTACTTCTTCTGCAATCACTTAGTCCCTGGCTTAGACCGGACACAACTGCAGAACCAGTGCCAGGTTCACATCCACAACACTGAGTTGCATGGGGAAAATAAAGAAGCTTAAGACTTCGTCCTCAAAGATTCTCTGCATTACTGTGCCCAATTTCTACGTGGTCTACTGCTTGCTCAAATCTTTCTGCAAAAAACATGAGCTAAGCATCTACAGAAGTAATCCTCATAAGCCTTTAGTTATTTGAAAAAAACAGCAAGTTATATATACAGGCAGACATCTCTCTCACTAGGATTCTCACACAAACACTCACTTGAAGTTAGAATATCAGGGGGGAGAGGTGGGAAGACTATTCAGTGACCTAGCGGCAAAGGGCGCAGTAGATTGATGCTATTTATAAAAAATCATTGGACAGGTCACCAGGAAAGCAGAGAACAGAAACTACAATAGCAGTATAAGTAGCGGCATGGCTAAGTGAAGGAAACATACACCTCCTAGTTCTTTGATGATGTGACCTACATACTGAACCATACTGCCCCTAGTACCAAGATATATAAGAGCATAAGATACAATCTCTGAAAGGTACATTGAAATACAGAATGTCAAAATAATGTATACTTTGGGAAAGAAACAATTTGAAAATTAAAACTCAATTTGAGATTAAGGTAGCGAACAGAAAAATGATATTCAGGAAAGGTATCCAACTACCCTCCAGATACTTCGTCTCTCTCCTTTTCTGTTGCCTCCTCCCTATAATCAATATATGTTAAAAAAATTCAGACCTCGAGCAAAAAGACAAATCTCACCTGAAAGTTAGGACAGTTAGTGGTCGATATGACTTATGACTGGTATTGCTGCTGAGTTTGCTACCCCAAAAGTCATGATGCCACAGGTCACCAAGTGGGGTTTCTGCCCTGAGGTCCTGAAAGGAAACATCATAAATTACCAGATTCTTAACATCACTGTTTTGTTCAAAGCAGCTAAAACACAAGTTCTAACTAATACAAGCTCATGCTAACAGGGACATAGCAAGTGTTTTGCTGGCTCACTACTGACATTTGACAAGGCACCCAAGTTTGCAATGAAGGTCACATCTCGGATGTCTGTCATCATAAAGGCCAAGATGCTTGGATTCTGTAAGTAGGCATAACTACATGAAATTTAGTAGAGCTATGAGTATTCATATCAGTTGATAATCTGGTCAATAGCTGAGATATGAAACACATTAAAAACCCTTTACCTTGTAGTTTTGTAAAAAGCCTTTGATTTCAGGTCTAGGTTATCTTGCGAAGGAGGCCAACTACAAACTGCTGCAAATAGCTATTTTTCTACCAGTGTCAGTAGCACAACTACTAATGAAAGCATGAAAGCAAGGACACTAAAGATAGAAAACAACAATTAGCTCTTTTCGAAGCCTTACTTCGCAGAGAACACTATTCAAATAGCTTTTTTTTTTTAAATTCTTAATACATGAAACCAAGAATCAATATCTCTATATAGTACTCTAAAAGATTAATAGCAGAAGACAGAAAAGTAATGAATTATTTTAATTTGGGGTGGGGTAGGGGACTATAAAAAAAAAAAAAACACTGCAAAGGAAAAGTCTACTCTTCTTTTTTATCTTAAAGCCATGCTGATAATGAAAAAATCCAAATAACCTAGACTATTGAATGGAAAACATACACTTTGGAGAGGAAAAAACAAGGACGTTGGTAGCATCCAGCTCCATTTTCTGTGAGGACAAGCCGTGAAGCTCAAACTAACGTATTCATCTTCTACTTGCCCTTTTTCTCTTGCTTCCCTGGGATAATTAAATATCAATTTATACTATAGCAAACATGCAGGTTAAATACACTTAAGACAGAACCCAAGAACAAAATTGTACAAGCAAATGATTAGCTTTTGTATGAGTGCTGGTATTACACCTGCAATCAACCACAAGTTACTCTACCCCTGCCTTCTCCCCTGAAATTGTTCAAGACACCAACAAACCAAAGCAGATTAACAAGCCGATACAAACACAAGTAAGCAGACAAACTGGGTTGCTAAACCCATGAAAGGTCTTACAAAGCTTGGTGTCCTATGTCTTATTCCTCCTACATCTCCATCTACTTACAAGATTCACACATTACACTACCCTTGGCTCACTAACTCCAGTTCCTCTCAAATGCTGCTACCATCTCACTTGCATCTACTGTACCTTGAGCACCTCCTGTGGTCTCCAGTACCTTCCATCTCATCCTTAGCTAGCATTTGTGGCCTGCCAACAAGGCAACAGAGAACACATACCACTCTAGTCCCAAGGTACGGGCAAATGTCTGGGCCACGCTGACTGGCTGCTGCTAAACTGAACTTAAAATAACTCAGTTTTTCTTGCTTCTCTCTTAAGACGTTCTGACTTTCATCCATCCAAAAATCAAAAAAATCCAGGAAGAGATTTATTTCTATCACTTCATCAAGTTTGGCCAGTATTAGGGAACCGGTTTAAAAAAAAAAAAAATTAGGAAAGGGAAGTAGGCTAAAAATCCAAGCACGCTATCAAATGAAGTGAAGCATTCTCTAATAGGCTACTAATCAATACACAGAGTGGGGCTAACACTGTAGTCTTTGAAAAGTCCTATATTGCAGCTGCGAATTAAGGCATTCTCAGGGAAAATCTTAAGAAATTGAGACTCACAGGGGATCCTATTCAGTTTAAGAATTATCAAGGTGCAAAGTTTCTTCAGTCTCTCACAGATGTTTCTACTGTCAAACAGCTACAAATTTCTTTCTTCTCCCAGGACTGCAATTTTGGCCTTAGGCACCTGAATTCCTGTTCCATTCCTCACTGGTATGCACAAACCCTGAAGGTCATAAAGGTCGTAGCAGGAGCGCATTTAACCAGCAGCCCGCTATATCAATCACTACGGCCTACTTTTCCAGGGGCAAGTTGGGACTGGGTTGTACACCAACATCTATTGAAGCCTTTGTACTCTGCGGGGGACAGCTGTTAGTGGGCGTTGTGGCCCTTGGACTGTTTTTCCAACCAACAGCACTGCTCCTTATGTACATTTGCCAAAAAAGGGACTACAAAAGACAGACTTTATTTTAGTATTAAAATTTTAAAAGTATGTCTTCTGCGTCACAGACGATAACTTCAATAACTTGAGATGGGAAATATATTTGAGACGTGCAAGGCTAGATTTCCATTTCCGCTACAATCAGTCTTCTTTTGTCTTCTGTAGGAAGAATGCAAGAAAAGCTGAATACATGGAATTACTTAGTGATTAGATTACACTTCCATATGACCTAAAAATCTTCAGTCATGTATCTTGCTTTTGTACCCAAGTTCTGTGAGAAAAAGTTTGTTACATTAATTTTCCCACTTGGTGGACTTACTTACCCTAAAATAGGAATGGTTTGCTCTAAGAGACACAACTGTTTAAAAGTTACGCATGATTTTGTCTTTAAGAACTGAAAGTAGGTATCGAAGAATCTCTAAATATTTGATTAGCAGCAGCTTACAGACAGCAGAGTTCAATACTTGAAGAAAGGTCTCAGTTTTTCTATATAAAGGCTTATGGAAATGACACATTGTGTCTGAAGCTCCGCCTAATCCAACTGTTTGTCTTGCCAAGCTAGTAAATAAATAAAGACAAAAGTCACTGTTATGTACCAGTTAAAATGCTGCTTAAAATGACAAGAAAGCATCTGCAAAACAGCCTTGAACCCCAATAAAATCTAGTAACAGAATGTTCCATGATATGGTAGGCATGGGGTCAACTAACAGTGTATCTTTCACTAAAAAAAAAAAAAATTGAAAGATTGGAGGGGTGGTGGTAGCTAGTAAATTAACAAAAAGGTCACTGTGTGGTACCCAAGAAAATACTGGTATAGTAATGCTTAGTAAATCTCCAAAATTACTTCACCTGCTGTCTCTCCTATTGAATAGGAATAAAATATGTTATACTTTGTTTAATAAACTGTGCCTTTGCTAGATGCTCTCCTTCCCCATTATACTGGTAAACTCATAGTCTCTGCATTTTTCTTGTGGATTTTGTATTTCCATATATTCATAAGACCCCTGTGTTAAAATGATACTGTCACAAAAATCTCATTTAATTTCTAAGGAATAATAGAGAATTTTGATGTGAAAAATAGAATAAACCTCACAGTTTTTCAAAAATACAGACTAGGTATGAATTAATCTATTTAAGCAGTTGCTTGAATATCTCAGCATTGCCAACAGCTATAACCCTGGTGCAGGTTATTGTGTTGCATAGATAAATTGAAACATTTTTGAAGTAAAGACTGAAAGAAATAGAGAAAGATTACAAGTGTGGAAATTGCGCATGAAGAAAACAACCTGCCTTGTTTCAACATCAGTCTTTTATTCATTCTTTCAGGAAATTAAAATATTATAATTGTGCCCCAAATAAAACTTTGCAGAATGAAACATTGCCAGGATCTGTGTAAATTAAAATATAATAAAAAAAAAAAAAAATCACCGTATGTTCTTAATTTGTCTATAGTACTCTCTTAGAAGCTTTGAGATTTATTTCCAATTTGGCAGATGTATTTTCCCCCCCATACATTTATAACTCAAGGTATGACGACTTACACAAGCATAATACAAATTTGTCTAAGGAAACAGTACTTCTGTGGGATTCTACAAGGCACATTCCAATACGTTGCCTCTAAATCTTGTGCAAGGCAAAAAAAATGTGAATTGTGTTCTAGCAGAATGAGCTTCCAGATTATCCTCCTTGTAACCCCATGGCTTCAGGAAAATAGAACCAACAGGTGATTCTTTTTACCCTGCGCTTCTCTTTCCAAACATTTAACAAGTACCTCCCAGAACAGCAAGAGCTGTAACACCAAGACCCACCCATGAGCACAGGCTCACTAACTGCTACATGTGATTCTATGAAGTGTCTCAGCAACTGAAGACACTCAGGTCCTCAAAGTCGAAGACAAAAGAATCTCAGCTAGAGGTTTGTTCGAATCCCTAAGCATTTCAAGGATTGTTCACGGCACGTATGATCAGTTTTAAAATAGAGCACAAGAATACGCTGCCTCTGTTTCAAAAAAAAATACAGTTGTCACAGGAACTTTAAGTGGGGAAGGAGCATAGGAAAAGGAAGCTTTCCTTCCTCCTCTAACATTTTTATGGTATAAACCACAGCAGGACAAACCCTGCACCCTACAATCGCTTAGTGATGCATTATGTATCTTGCAATCAGAGTAAGTTTATTCATTGGGCTTATTCATCTGTCACCCTGAGAAGATAATGAAGAAATCTCCTATTAACACCAATGGGTATTAGAAAAGTCTACTGCATACTCTCACTGACTTAGAAATGAGCATAAAATTAGATCTATAGGCAGTCTTGATGTACAGGTACCCTGTGAATAAGTGTTACTAAACATCACATCCAAATTTGCTGCAACCCTAAATAATGCTTTCTTAGATGACAAGCAGACAAAGTCCATTTGGTATGGCAAAAAAGAGATCACTTCCCCTTAACCAGATATCAACACTTGTTAAGCAGAGGATCTTACTTGCAAAAGAATGAAAGGGGACACACTGGGGGGGTGGGGGGGGAAGTGGTTTAATTTGTTCCCTCTTTTGTTTATGCATTAGAACTGAAGTCATGTTATTCAAATAGCTTTAGGAAAAACATTTTGTTAAGCATACTTACGCTTCTAGCTTTTTGGTAGAGCACTGCTGCACAGATTGTTTGTCAACCTTAAATAAGGCTTACTTTAAAAAAAACAATAAAACAAAACAGAAAAATGAAGTTCAAAAAAAGGAATATTAGAAGGAAGCTCTTTTCTAGGATGAATATTTTGGGCCTACTTAGATCAACTGTTGTCATTATTTCTTTTCCTATGACGATTTATGTCAAAGGGCACGGGGAGGGGGGGAGAGAGACAAACCTTATTATTGATGATGGCTTCAGAATCATCAAAGACAAAATCTCCGTCATAGCTGTTAGCAAAACAGAGGAAGGCAATTAATGCCACAACCATTTTAGCCCAGTATGATGGAAGGAGGAACCATAATACGCCATGGTCCAGATTAGGTTCTGTTTGTGCCATTCTGTGAAATGCTTGTTCCAAGTTGGGAACTTCAGCATTATGTTGGTTGGAAATCTGAAAGAAATACATACAAATGCAGAGTTATAGTTGCATTTCACTAAAAAAAAAAAAAAATTAAAAATGGAGAGTTGGGTTGGGCGAGGAGAATGAAGTTTCACACAACCTAACATTTTTCCCTGTTGGTGCATTTCATAATTACTAGAACATATTTAAACAAAATTTTGTACTTCAAATGTGGAAGAAAGGCACTGTTCCTCTCAGGGTTAGAGCACAGAGATAAAGCCAAGAAATTCTTAGATTCTAAGCTGAAGCTTTGGCACAGGTAAATTCTAAAACCTTGAGCAAATCACTGTTTTTCTGTTTCTTACTATTCAAGTATAACAAACAGGGGCATCACGGGGACTGTGGAGTGTTTATCAAGTTCTTAAGAGCACTATAATTTCCTTCTGAGTGTGAAAAACAAACATTATCAATTGCAAAAAGAGCTCAACTCTCTTCCGTTAATCGAATTAAATGACCTAGTCTTACACATCGCCCATACAGGGAATTCATAGAAACATCCCAGGCAGATATATACAGATAGCAGTTAATGGACTAGGCTCTAAATCTCAACAATTCAAACAATGAGACAACAAGACGCATACAATTAAGACCAAAGTAGTGTTCACTAGATCACTCTGCATGTCGCAAGTGCAGTATAGGCTAAATTCCACTGCTGTATTCATGGGCTTATGAGGTAGATGAAAAAGACCATGCAGTCCAACAGCACTGAGTGATACATCAGTGTGGAGGTACTAAGGCTGGAGGTTTACCCAGGAGCCACCTTTACTTGGCAGGGTCTCTTCTGATGCTCCAAAGCCAGCCCTCTGCCTGGACAGCTATTTTGCCCCTGCTGCTCTGGTGCTCTGACAGTACTGTGAGTGGTCTTAGTATCAAGTGCTGCTATAAACAGCAGGGGGAGGAGGTTACGAATGGAAAACTACAGTAAAAGCAGGGCAGAATACAAAGTTTTTATTTGTAAGCCCCAAGAACGACAGGCACATATAGTAGCCCAGCTTCACACTTTCTTCTTATTTACTGGCTTTTAAAATCAAGTGTTGCACCCCTGAAAACATTGCATTTAATGTCTTATTACAATCCAGGAAAAAGCTCCAATCATTTGGCTTCTTGAACAGACTTGACCATTAGAGCTGCTGAAGCAACTGCTTTGCAGCTTTCCGTTTGCAATGCTAAGTGCCAGTCTCCACATATTGCCAATCTCTGTATGCACATGGACAGGCAGTACTCCCTGTCACACCAGTGCCCCTTCTCACTTTGGGGACTACATGGCAGCGCTCCCAAATTCAGATAACGTCAGTAACGTGGAGCTGTGCAACCTGAGAAAGAATGGAGCTCCTCAGCAGAGCAAAGCAGACCAGCCGCTTTAAGAGCAAAACCTTTTCTCAAAGTAATTTACCCTTGTGCTCTTAGTTTGACGAAAACAAAGACTAAAAGCAAGGCTGTTCATCAGAAGGAAGTGCATTGCATTGCTCCTAACAGCACAGATACAGCACCAATGCCCACTACCCAATTAAAACATTTAATCTACTCGAAATTCATTCTTCCCTGAAAGTTTCTTCCATTCTGCCTGCTCCATTGAGCTGATGCACATCTGCTGCCAGCCCTGCCCCCGCGGTCCAGAAGAGGAGGGCAGCTCGTGGGGGCTCCCTTACCAGGCGCCGCCTTAACCGCCCCGGCGGTCCCCGCACC